CCTAATGTTACTTCTACTCTGTTTATTTTTACTTAAATTTAGAAAGATATGCTTCATTTCTACCCTCAATCTTATCGCTACATTTATTTGCTATTTAAAATTGAAATTAAAAAGACAAATGACAAATAAGTTTCTATATTAGCTCACTTATGAGCAAAATATATTATAACAATCTTTACTAATTTTATAACAATACATAAACTATACTCCCTCCGTCCCATATTAGATGGGCACTTCCAACTTTACACGGTGATTAAAAATCATTAATACATTGGAAGACTTCACCATTTTGCCCTTTGTTTATATCAATGCACATTGAAATGAGTTACAAAAAATACACATACAATATAGAAATGGTCATATTAATTGTAGGGGTAAAATGGAAAAGAATTAATTAATTCTATCCTAATTTAATAAGTGCTCAAATAATATGAAAAAAATATTTTTAGTAAGATTCTCATCTAATATGGGACGGAGAGAGTAACAATATAACTTTATTAATGTTGGGCCCGGGCAGCGCCCGGGCTTTCTTTACTAGTATATATAAATTTAACTATGGACCTCATGTGACTAACAAAATTCACCATTATTGTCTTCTTTGTTAGTTTCAAAGAAAAGCTATGTGAAATCTAACATATTGTCTTTATCTTCTTTTAACAAAATTTAATATTTTCTCTTATTTAAAAAAGAAATTGATATTAGGTTAGTGGAATAATATTTTTAGAAAAGAGAAAATAGTAAATTTTATTGGAGAATAAGAGAAAATAGTGTTAGATTTCTTGGAATTATTTCTTTGGAGATAACAATGGTAAATTTTGTTAGCCACAAATGTTCCATAATTGAATTTAACACTTTTTTGATGAATTGTTAGATTTGAGGTAAAAGACCAAAATAAACTTATATTCTTATACATTAAGAATCATTTCAATTAAATGAAATACATTATGGACCAAAATGAACAACATTATTTGTCATGTTGCGTTTCTTGAAAGTTAGTTTGACTAACTTTCAAAATTAAATTAGGTTACATTAATTCGATATTTTAAACAAAAAATTTAGATATTCAAAAACTATACGAAAAGTAAAATGTTAGTCAATATTTTTATAATTTGACTCTAGAAAAAAAAACTATGACAATTAAAAGTGAACGGAGATAGTAATTTAAAACCATTTCAATCAATTAAAATACCAGTAAGATAAAACATTACCCAGTACCATTTTGGTCATTTTCTCTTTCTTTTTCCGTGAACTCCGCTAAATCATTCTTCTTTTCAAATTACTACATTCGGAGGGAGAAAAAGAAGAAGAAAAAAAGCCCTAAACTTTGGTCTTGTAGTAAGGGGGTCTGGACAGTCGAAAATGGTGGATGGGTCGAATAACGTGGATGTAGAGAAGTTGATCTCCTTCAGTAAGGATCTTGTTCAGTTCTTGAAAGAAGATAAAGATGTCAGCTTCTTGAAACAGTGTAAAGAGCAATCTAATGCCCTTCAATCACACTGCCACACTGAGCACCAGGCACTTCAGAATTCCATTCAAGGTGGGGTTTTTGTATTTCCTTTTCAGTTTTGTAAATTGAGGGTTTGTTGAATTTTTTAGTGACTTAAAAGTTTGAATCTTTCCGAGTTGGAGTTTTCCCTAATCCCCATAGAGACATAAGACTATGTGAGAAAGAATAAGTTAGCTTAAAGATTGAACCTTTGGAATTGTGTGCATAATGTTCTTACTGTTGAATTTTGAATTCTTTTGGAAATAGTTGGATGGTTACTGAGTGAACCTCTTTCTGTGTTTCTTGAACGATGGCTTTGGCCATGAATACAATTTTTGAGTTGTTTCTGAATTTTTATGAGTGATTTGGAGTGAAGAAAGTTTTTGGTGTTTTCAAATTCTTGAAAATTCAAGTTGAATTCTAGATTTTTATGGCCAAACATGTTTTATAGAGTTCAAAAAATTCATGGCCAAATGCTCCCTTAGCTAACGGATCGTCCCAAGAGACAACCCATTGGCCAAGAGGTTACAATTTAAGCTGCAGATCTCAGTGGTGTGACTCTTAGCTAGCTTAGTAGTGCCTGACTGGACCTTCCCTACTTCTTAGCTACCTTAGTAGTGCCTGACTGGACCTTCCCTACTTCCTATGAACAATGTGTGAGAAAAAACATTGGCTTAAAGATTGCAACTTTAAATCTGATATAGACAGAGTTTACAATGTGCTTTGCTGTTGGATGCAGTTCTTTTCCTCCTCATAGCACTTCTGCTTTATAGATACTTCTTTACACTTGAAACCTTGCTTTTTAATGATATCTTTGTTTTTGGATGTTTCATTCAGTAACATTCCTTTAATGACAGAGAAAAATGGGGTTTGAGTCAATTTCTTTCTAGATTAATTAGTTTAAAGATTGAACCCAAGGGACATCCCCGTTGCCTAGAGGCTATAAGTTGAACCACAGTGCGTAGTTCAAACCTCAGGGTCACCACTACGCAATAGGATCTTCCTTGCTCCTTAAAACTATGTAGTGAAAAGAAAAAAAAAACTCTGCGTAAGATTGCATTTTGAATCAATGTAGACAAACTTCACAATTTTCTTGCATCTGGATGATTCTTTTTCTTAGTACCAATTATTAGTGGATAACTCTCTTTACATGGAACTGAAACACCATTTTCTGTTTGCTTGCGTACTAGCGTGTCACTGTGTCAGGTCAAAATTTCTTCTTGCAAAATATCGTGATTTCTGGATGTTTCTTTTATTACTAACATTTCGTGGAGTGTGGACTGTGGGGTCTCTGTCTATCTTTTATACCTTTACATGAGTACTACTGCTGGAATCTGGATGCTCTCATGCCAACCCTCATGAGATTTTTTAGAATGTATTATATATAGTGTAAAATTGGTGCTATTGCCTACTTATTCCTGATAGTTTTGGTGATACTTCTACTTTTGGTGTACTTTGTTTCTGAGTTGAAGTCCTTTTAACCAATTAAAATGCAAAATAGGTAGAGGCCCAGTATGTGTGTGTGTTTGTTTAGTTTAATGATTAGCTCAATAGACCACTATATTGGTTCCTTTCAAGGTCCCAACACTGCTCCTATGAATTCCTTCAGGCCTCAGACATACATGTTGTTTTTCTTATTATATAAGTTGGAAATTGGAATTATGTTGGTATTTAGTGTCTTCGTTCGATCATTAATTTATGATTGTACTGGGAGATGTCCGGATTTCTGAATTTGAAAGTATTTATTAACTAATTTCAAGTCATTACATACTCAGATTATCAAGGAAAGATAAATGCATGTAAGCAGAGAACAACAGAAGCACAATCTGAAGCTGCTGCAGATGCTGAAATAAATAAGCTGCAGAAAGAGTTAGAACAGGAGATCCAGAGAGAACAACTGCTAAGAGAAGAACTTAGATAAGTATATTTAACAATGTTAGATACATGTATTTGTATTTCTCAGATAATTTAGTGTTATGCTTACTGATTGACACCTTTTTTAAACACAGTTATAACCGATGAGATCAATGATTTAGATCATCAAAGAGACTCTATTGAGGAGCAAAGAAAATTGCTCAAGAAAATTGAGCAAGATCAGCTTCGAGCTGAGTAAGTAATCAGAACCTCTTGTACTTTAATATGCTTATGATTATGTCAGACATTTATTTCCAACATACTACTATAATATTTCGTTGAAACAATCCCATCGTGGCATTGTTATGTTGACTCCTCCTCATCCTCTAAGTTTCAAACCGTGCTTGCTGGCCCTTGGGGTTTCTTGGTCATCAAAAAAGAAAAAGATATTGATATGTTGACTCGTTAAGCTTTTTGCAACTTATGTTGTCAAAGTGTCTCAAGAGGTTGCGAGGGTCTGACATGTTTTCAACATATTCTGTGGATAATTTGCCTACTCAGTTCCATATTGCAACATGGTACAAATATTTGAATGTATCTGCCATATGCCAATCACTGTTAAGATAGTCCATTAACATCCCATCTGGTGCAGACCAAGTTCTACCACAGTACATCTTTGGATGTCTAGTTGTAACTATTGCCCAACTAAGTATTTCTACAAATTGAATATACACATGATTTGACATTATCTGGACGCAACAAAACATATCCCTCCTTTCCACTTTATGGGATACACTTTTCTTTTTAGCCCGTTCCGAAAAGAATGACACATTTCTAAATTTGTAAACAATTAACTTTACACTTCCCATTTGACCCTTAATGAGAAGCTTTTATGACCATCCAGATGTTATGGCATATTTAAGACCACAAGTTTCAAAAGTACTATAGACACACACATGTTTAAGACCACAAGTTTCGAAAGTCTTCATTTCTCTCTTAAACTCTATGACGATTCAAACTATATCACATAGTTTGGAATGGAAGGAGTAGTATTTTTAAAGGTTTCCTCTGCTGCACCTTCACTCATGAACATCATCTGAGGATTGAAACTTATTAGACATATTACTTTTTTTCGTTAGTACTTTACACTCTTTAGACACACAGCCACTTGCAGAATATCCTGTTGCAATGATACCAGTGTTTTTATCCAGAAAGTTCTTTTTCCTCTTTTTTTTCTCTTTAAAATGCTTAGTATTAAAGTTGTATTCCCAGTGTGCGGTTGATGTTTGGTAATTTGTGTTAAAATCAGTACTAATATTTAGTGATCTTTCCTTGTCTCTCTCTAGCTACTATTGTTTGTAATGCTTCTTCTTTAAGGGCTGTTTCTTGTATATGTTTAATTTCGAGCAATTTTTTCTTCTTATTTTGTAGGATGAAGCTATCACTGTATGCCTCTGTTACAAGTATCATCCCGGACTTGAATGATCAATCCAAAATATCAGGCCGTATCCTAATTACTTTGTTTGCTAAGCTAACATTTCTGATTCTTTTCTAAATTCGCCTTGTGTCTGTTTTTCGAGATTGTGCAGCAATTCAGTTCACCTTGACCTATCCTAGATATTGTGGAGAGAGATAAGAAGGTGGTTGAAAATTTCGAGTTTGATTCATCAAATCAGACTGCCTTTGACACTTGTAACAACATCTGGAAGATGATTAATTTGTAAGAAGCAGCATTGCTTAGGCTTAGTTATGACTTGCATTGTTAAGAGTACCTTATTGCCTTGGCTGATCAGTTTTTTAATCTAATCATACTAGATCTCATTGCCATTTTGCATTATAGCGTGTTTCATTTGAAGTACAATCTTGTATTTTGTATATGATGTTTGTTGTTCCAGAATTCAAATCATTTCTAATGCTTTCACAAGTCTCAGTCTGTGAAGTCAAACATTTGCTAGATAGCAAAATCCAATAGTCTAATTATAAGTTGCAACATTGACATCTAGCAGGTAACTGCTCAAGCTTTCTCAACGTTCCATCGATATCAGCATCATCATTCCATTCCATTCCATTGAAAGAATTCCTCACATATTTCACCTCACTAAATACAGCAACAGTATGATAAGAGAGTCGAGCTTGCACGTTAAACATTATGAAGATTTATACCTCATATGGCCAATCAAGCAATTGTAAAACTACAAAATGCAGTGGAGATAGATAGGAAACTCTATCTACGTTAAGGAGAGATTTTACATAAATTTTACAAGAAATAAATATGCTAGAAATTCTCATATGACTATATCTGGGGCATTGCTGAAATCCCAATTTCAATTCATACATAAACGTTGAGCTGTTGTCTCTCTTATACAGCTCATTCAAGCCAAAAGTCACAGATGCTGGTAAAAAGCAGCGGAATCAGATGCAAATTATCACAATCAGAGTTCAGGCCAAGGTTTGCCCATCAATCTCCCCTGTAACAAGAAAACAACTAAACTTCAATCCGAGCAAGTTGAGATCTGTTTGTGTACATTCTCACTGTCTGTGTCAATCCATCTTAGCCCATCTTATCTTGTAATGTTACGATCCACGCTATTGACTAGTTTGTTGGTTGTCTACTTGGGACCTACAATTTGAGCAAGCTCACACAAGCGGAGTTTCCCTCTGTAACCACCAGGAAATATAAAGGTGCATTTATGACCAAGCAAAATTTTGACTTCAGGAGCAACAAAAATATTGTATGCATTGCAACAGCTGTACTGCATATAAAAACAGACATTTGGTGACACCTTAATGAAGTCAAACTTCAACACAATGAAACATAGAAATAAAACAAAAACAAGTAAATGTGGTTTCCACATGATGCATATCTGCAAGCCCAGAAACTAAATTGTGAAGTTAGAAAAAAAGAAATTGAATATAACATACTCAACCACCTTCAGCTGTTCTACATCACAGCAATTGAAACATAACACACTCGACCACCTACCTAAGCAACGTAGAAACAGACATACAATTGATCCCCAAATCCCAAATCAAAAGGATTGATTCATAAGTCGAAGGCCAACTTCAGAATATATCTTCTAGACAATAGATATGCAAATCATGGTCAGACTCAAAGGCTGATGGCCAATGATCAAACAATTCACACCAAGCAATAAACTACAACCTTGGGTAGACTATCCATACAAGAAAACCTAAAACTTTAACACATTGAAACTAAATGCAAGAAGACTATATCATTTCATAACATCAAGGGAGCAAATAAAAAGATGCAGGTCCAACATTTACTCGTAACGCGTAAGAATGGAGAGACAAACAAGATATACAAGTGCACATGCCCACAGCGTCTCCAGTCAATAATTGAACAGACTATCAAAACAACAAACATATGAATCCTCACGATTCTTGTTTCTCCATTTAATCTCATCTCGGGAGAAAATTACAAGAATGTCACACTTGGAAAAAAAGGAAGATGCATGTTTGAGGAATTGAACCCACGACCTTGGGTTTTCCAAGGAACCATTGTGACCTGCTGGACTGGCTGAGGAAAAGGGAAAACAAGATTGTTAGAAAATCATGTTTGTTGGAAGGGAGGAGAAAGCAAAGGGAAGTCAATCAGTTATTCATCTCTTTTACCTTTTTTAAATTTTTTTTGTAATTTTTGAAATCTTTCCAAACAAATGAAAGTTTTCCAGGTTGAATTTAGACATCACTATGCTAAGCCGAACATTCGCCAGAGCTTTATAGTAGCTAATGAAACACAACCTTCTCCAAGACCATGCGCATGAGATCACTTCTAGATAGGGTATACTACAAAAGGGAAACTAAGTTAGAAACAATGCCTGCCCAATGCAAAACTATCTCTTCCAGTACAAGGAGGGTGAAGGATGAGCAAGGGCAGCAGATGGAACAGTATCAGCAAACTGATATGGTGCAGGTATGGTGTTTGGCAACCGTACAGAGCCTTCCATGTATGGTGGAGGCTGATTCGCATCACCAGATATGTTGTTTCGCAAACCCTTAGAGCTTTCCATGTATGGTGTTGGCCTATAAGCATCACCGGGTATGTTGTTTGGCAACCCCTTAGAGCCTTCCAAATATGGTGGAGGCCTATAAGCATCACCAGGCATGGTGTTTGGCAACCCCATAGAGCCCGATGCTTCAAAGTAGGATGGCGGCCTATAAGCATAGGTATGGGAGGCCAGTCTGTCATGCACAGCTGCATCACCAGGGGGTCCATATAACTGACCAGTATGACTTCCTATTTGACTAGGTGTATGATCAACTAGAGTCCCTCCATGAACTCCAACACATGAACCTCCTTTCACTGAATTACCTGCGCCAGCTCCATCCATGGCCACAGCACCTCCCACAGGTCCTGCCAGTGAGCCAACAGCATTTTGATGTATTGAGCCTGCAACAGTTCCATGCAATACAGACGGGGCCAGAGAATAACCATAAATTTGGCCGGCAGTTCCACCACGTTCTAACAAGGTACTGTTGCTATCATCAACATGATTAACAACTCTATGTTGTTGTAGAGGCCATGGATTTGGATTTGGATTTGGAAAATGTGAGGGTTTCATTTCTTTGTTGCTGAAATTACCAGACGACTCAGTCTCACCAATTTTTCTCTTTTGTGTCATCTTCTGATCACCTATATGCCTAGTCAATTCAGTAACTTCTTTCTCACCTATATGCATATTCAAATCAGCAATATCTTTCTCCAAGTTCATTATTCTCACATCGATTTGCCAACCAGGAAGGAGTTTCGAAGGATCAATCTTGTGGCGTTCCAAACATTCCCCGACAGATTTCAGATCAGACAAGTGCTTATTTTTACCTGCACGCACAGCAATACTTTGATGTTCAAGTCCCTTAGTATTGTTCAAATATGACACTTCAGAGTTATGTAAAAATGATGTCAAGATTTTACGAGGGTTATATCTGTTCCCCATTCCAAAAGTATAGGCAATGTCAATGGCCCCAACTACTAAAGAGTTATTCAACATCCACTGTATTATTTTCGGAATCTTTTCCATGAGAACTCTTGATCTCCTAAGGGCACCAGAAATCTCCATGGCGCCACCTGCCTTGAACAAAAATCTGATATCCCGATCCATAAATCCTTGAGGAATCCCGAAACACCCAATGAGCAACAGCAAACCCTGGGCATCCATTTCCTGAGCCGTTCCTATACCTCCTTCGGATATCAGCCTCGCCCGCCATGCTAAAGCTGCCTGCTCTGCCTCATTTTTTGTCCGTTTATCAATCGCAACTACTCTCCTTTCTCCCATCATCAACAAGAGGCATTCCATAGCCAATAAAGAAGCCCGTCCCCTTGAGCTCTTAACATGCTTCTTGCTCCCCTTGTTGATACATTGCACTACAAGCCTTGCTGGATTGTGCGACAGTGTCAATGCCTTAGGAAGTTGTTTACGCAATCCATCTTTATCTGAGATATGCCTCACGATGTACCTCTTCAGACCAGCAAAGTCCATCGTTTTGCACAGGATTTCCAGCTCTGAACGAGAAGACGATTTCGATTTCAATTCCTCCTCCTCCTCCTCTTCTTCCTCCTCCTCCTCCTCCTCTTCTTCCTCCTCCTTCTCCTCATCCTCATCCTCATCCTCATCCTCATACTTCTCCACCTCATCCTCCTCCTCTTCATCTTCATCTTCATCTTCAGAGGGGTCAGACTCGAAAGATGGTTCTGGCTCTGGCTCTGGGGTTGGGAGTGTCACTGGTGGCGGAGTGAGCAGTAGTTGCATAGCGGAGTCAATTGAGGTCCGTGCGGAATCAATGTGTTGTTCTAGGTCAGTCAAGCATCGCTGGAACGTGAAAAGTCCGTCCGAGAGTTTGCTGAGATTGGCAATGATCAATTCCGGGGAATGTTTTGGTTGCGATTCCGACTGTTGAGCTTCTGTTCGGACTGATTCGGTGTTCAGTGGTGGATCTGGCCGTGGCGTAGCACCGGCGGCGGCGGAGGAATCCGTTGGTTTTTTCATCTTATTCGTCGGAGTAGAAATGGGGAAAACGAGGAAAATTGACCATACAGAAGAAGAGAGAAAATAACAAAATCAGTCCTTTAATTATTGGGTTACACTTTAAATTGTCCTTTTATATTTATTATACATTACATTTGAGAATATAAAGTCCTTTTAGTTTTTCTCCAACAACATATAAAGTCCATTTAGTTTTTCACAATAGAGGTGTTCTAGTAAAAATCGATGCAAATCGAAAAAGACTCAAAGAAAACACCTAATTAAATTGAACCGATAAATATACATATTTTTTTATAATTATATATACATAATATATTATTTTATTATGAATAGTTTTAAAAAAGATGAACACATCGGTGGTCTCTTAAAGTTGACATCAAGTTTCTTTTAGACACTTCAATTGAGTTTTGTTCATTTTAGACACCTTTATGTAGGGTTTCATTGTACCATTTTGACACTTTTTGATAATAACCCAAATATACAAAATGTGTGTAATACACTTGCCGATGATGTGTCAAAGTGACGAATTAAATGAAGACACTTTTGAGTAGAAAAAAAAAAGCGATCACTGATTTAATGACATATGACATTTTAAACTCAATATAATATTTTTTTCTTAAAAAGAAATTCATCACCAATTCACTCATGCTCAATCGTCTTCTTCACTCCACCTAGGGATGACAATGGGGCGGTTGCGGGGGCAAACCCGCCTAAACCCACTAAGATTTTGATCCGCCCCACTCCGCATAAACCCGCCCCATCCCACATAATTAATAAAAAACATTTTAAATGATAGGCGTACAAGTTTTTAATTTAAAAGTTTGAATTTTGTTAACTGTTTAAAGTTAAATTAACATGTTAGTGTTGCATTAAAATGCAATTTTATAATACTCATCTTTTAAAAATGTCAATAACATATATTTTGGTAGCTTTGAATTAGGTATATTTGATGTAATAAACAAAAAATGCAAATAGTGACGACTTTTTTCTTCTTTCTAGTTTTTTGGCCATTCAATTTTTTTTTAATAAATATTCAGTCAGTTCCATTTTCACTTAAAACTCATCATATGATTAGTGCCCAAACATGTGCAGAACTGATTCAAAATTTATGTGAAACGATGGATTCTTCATCCCTAACCTGCAACCGCCCCGCCCTGTGTAAATTTTGAAAAAATATATTTAAACTCGTCCCTCCCCGCACCGCATCCGCAAAAGATCTAACCCGCCCTGCCCCACATACACTATAAGCCGCCCCGTTTTGCTCCCAACCCGCTCCATTGCCATCCTTAACTCCACCCAATTCAGTCGTCTTGTTCACCTCCACCCACCCCAACCCCAACCCCAACCGCTCCTCCACCGGCCACTAGATCGTCCCCTTCACCCTCACCCACCCCAACCTTAACCCTTTTTCCACCCAACACTTTTGAAAGAATTTAATTAATTTTAAAAATATAATATAAAAATACGATTATTTTTGTACTTCTGAAAATCAGTTACTCCCTCTGTCCCAATTTACATGGCTTACTTTTCTTTTTAGTCAGTCCCAAAAAGAATGACACATTTCTATATTAAGTAATAATTTAATTATAAAATATCTATTTTACCATTAATGAAATGATTTACAGCCACACAAATTTATATCATTCATTTTGGACCACAAATTTTAAAAATTTTCATTTCTTTTTTAAACTCTATGCCGAGTCAAACTACCTCACATAAAATAGGATGAAGGGAGTATTAATTAGCAATGGAAGATTTTTTTATTTTTTTTTTGCAATTCTCATATGTGCAGAGGATTCAAATACATTAAAAAAATATTGATTATTTCGTGGTGCTGAAATTTCAACTTTTAGGAAATCTTATGGGTTAAAATTCACTTTTTTTTATCGGTGATATCATTAAATCTATTTCATCATAGAAAAAGTTTAAGTTTGAGAAATGGTAGCTAGAAAATTAAGAAGAAGAACAATTTGTTCTTATAAAAAAATAGTGAAATAAGGCTCACGCCCGGTTAGTGTGTGTATCACACTCACTATGTCATGTCAATTAAAGTGTCAAAATGACACAACAAGACTCTACATAAAATGTCTAAAATGAACAAACTTAACTAAAGTGTCTAAGTGAAATTTGATACCAATTTTAAAAAATCACCAATGAATTCAGCCTTTTAAAAATCTTGTATATACTTCCATTAAAATTTATTTATGAAGAAAAACAATTCACAATTTACACTTTCGGCAATAATAAAGCAGAAAAAATAACATTATTTTTACTAAATGGTATAAGAACAATGTATACTTATTTTTTTTAATGTCAAATAATAAACAATGTGTAAAAGTTTATATCTTTATTGGTGATATCATTTGAATAGCTGAAATTATCACATCTTCCCTTAAGATTCTGTTGTTAGATTACCTTATTCAGAAATTTGATGATGCACTAACCTCTCCCTATATTATTATTTCATTTACCGAATTTAAATTCAAAATCTTTAAATAAAAACAGGATATAAATAACGATTTTCTTTTGCTTTCTCCACTTGTTTCATTTTCCTACTTTTAACAAACATTATTCTTCAAGTTTCAGAGTGAAATATGTGTATTTTTCTTTGTTTCCCTTGTAACCATGTGCATACATGTTCTCATATTATTGATATAATTGCCATTATAATTTATAAAAGAAAGTCACCATTGAAGTTATCTCGAATTTTCAAAAAGACATCTTAACTTTGCGGGTGTCCTATTATCCCATTGAACAACTTCAAAATAATGTGTATACCCCATTTTTTACCCAATATCACTCATACAAAAATGTTTGTATGTTACACACTAATAGTCACTCGCCATGTGTTAAAAATATTTTTCAAATATTTTTATCTGATTTCTTTGTTTTTCTTTTTTTTTTCTTTTTCTCTTTCTTCTTCACCTCAACTATATTCTTCTGCCATTCCCTTCCCGCTGCAACAGTCGTCAAATTTGCTGTGGCGGGGAGGATTTCGCGGTAGCACTATCAATTATTTGTCAAACTACCATCAATTAATTTATTTATGAAATAAACACCGTCAAATAATCAAAATCTAAATACTCAAAATATCACCAAGTCAAAATCTAACATTTAAATCACTACCTTCTCCAACTTCTTACTCCTAAATCGAGTTTTCCATAGTTTAACTACTCCCAAATTCCAATCTTGATTTGTAGGAGGAAAAAAATCACTAAATTAATTTGTTTTTCACAAAAAAAAAAAAGAGAATAAGAATGAACACAATAACATTAGTTTTAAAAAAACAAAGATCAAAAAGGAAAAAGAGAAAAAGAATTTTTGTTTTGAAGGAAGCCATGGATGCTCAAGAAATATGGGTAAGCTAATAATGGTAGGGAAGATCAGAAAAAAGATTTGAAAAATTTAAAACTATTCCTAATAAAGTTTAAAAAAAATTAATACATGGGTTTTTATATTTTTTCAAAATAAGTTAAATTGGTAGTGCCACATGGCAATTTTACGTTGGTCTGAAGCTGTATCAAGAGTCCTTCACACGCTCATATTTCGTGACAGCACGAGTGGTGTTAAAATTAGTCAAAATGTATATTTATTGTGGATTTAGATAGTTTCGTGGGGTAATAGAACACTCACAAAGTTAAGGCGTCTTTTTAAAATTCGGAACAATTTCAATGGTGACTTTATGTCTTTTCTCTTTTAATTAGTAAACTTCATCTTTCAAGTATTAATTTCAAAAGAGAAATTGTCTATATATCTCAAGTAGTTTAATTTTTAAACTAAGTTAAATATATCAAATCAAAACTGATTTTTTTGTCGAGCGACTTTCTCTGACGACGATAAAAATTATGATATAAATTGAACTATTTGAAATATCAAGTTAAAACAAAGAACAAAGAAAAGAAAGGAAAATAAAAGAATGTTATTAAAACCTTATTCTAATAGTGACGTACTGACGTTAATAAAAAAAAATAGTTTGTAAATATTAAATATATATGTATTATTTATATTTAATTAGGATTGGGGAAGAGAAAATAAAACACAGAATTATATATAAAAAAATTGAACCATTATCAACAAATTGAAACTTTATATAGACAATGAACGAAGCTAATATTGACATAGGTACAAACAAACTTATTACTAATATTTCATGATACATTTTGCAGTACAACACAATGACACATTCACTTCTACAATTCTATAATTTTTTCTAATAAAAGAAACAAACCATCACCTCTTAAAAAGTCAAATGTAACAATTTACCATTAAAAAAATCTCAAGTGAAATTAATATTTTTTATTATTCAAGAAAAAATAATAAAAAATGAAGAAGAAAAGAAAGAAAGAAAGAAAGAAACAGAAGCAGAACAAGCCATTTTTGTTGTTTGCCCCTTTTCTTGTCATCCCTTTCCCTTTTCCAACGAATCTCTCAGAATCATAAATTCAAAAAAAAAAATTAGGCCGAATCTCACAACTGTCAGCACTATCATTGTATTAACCCCAGCTCAACTCTCATATATTAATACATACATTTACATACATATTCCCCAGATCTGTTCACATATTTCCAATCATTGTTTCTCTAAGGTTTCCCAAAACCACCACCAGTAATTTCTATGCTTTGTTGGGGCTAAAGATTTGATCTTTTGTTCAAGAACTTATTTGGGTTTTCATTTTCTTGGATTTTTGTTTCAGGGTGTATGTTGTATGTAGATCTTGAGCTGGGAATTTCATAATTGAGTGTTGGATTGAGGGAAAAGGGAAAGGGGGTAAATTTTTTTTTTTTTTTAAAAGGGGGTTAAAAAATGGTGTTTTGGGAGGGTTATGTGAGTGATGAAGTGATGGGGACATTTGCCCCAATAGTGGTGTATTGGCTGTATGCAGGGTTTTATCAGCTATTGCCTCCCATGGATAAATATCGTCTTCATACAAGGAAAGAGGAAAATGCCAAGAATTTAGTTCCACTGGCTTCTGTTGTTAAAGGGGTTCTTCTTCAGCAGTTTTTTCAGGCAACTGTTGCCCACTTACTCTTTTTGGTAAATTCCTCAGCTGTTTCTGTTCCTGTCTGTCTTGGTTTGAGGTCTTTTGATTAAGTAGGCAACTGTTTGACTGGGTGGTTAAGGCCTGTATGAATGGATAGGTAGAGTTGCTCCTTTGATGGCATGTAGGTCACACGTTTGAGGCATCGAACAAACCTTTTGTAGAAATGCAAACAGAAGGATGTGTATGGCATACGCCTTCCTCCTACGAACACTAGTTGGGAGCAGTTAATGCATTGGCTAAACTGATATATAACAAAGTGGTCAGATTTTATTGCTGTCGGACTTCCAATTATGACCAACTTGTTGTTTGCAGTTACTTACTTAAGAGGGTAACTAACTATTGCATGACTTCCCATGTGGTGTGCTCTAATTAGTGCAGTGGTTATTTGATTTTGATTCGAGACTCTTCTATTTAATGTGCCAATCAACCTTAGCTTATGCAGTGATTACTTTTTTCGACAACACTGACCAGCGACAAACGTGCTTCTCTCTCCCCTTCATATATAATTGCCATATAACATTCAAATGCCAATCACATCGTGGTGTTTGGCATTGTCCTTCAACGAATATCGTTCCTCATGAAGTTGATAGAAAAGGAGTCAGAGAGGTAGAAAGAAAGTACAGAAAAATACATCTAAAGCATAGTAACCATTATGTCATATACTCATGAGAGAATGAAGCACTTAAGATGATGAAAGTATTTTCTGAACAAGTTAATGAATGCAGGATTGGTGCCTTTCAACCTTTTTCTTTAGAAGCATTCATAAGTTCTATAAAGACGGTCCAATAGTGGCCATCCTCAAATGTGCTCCCCACTCCAATACACATAATAGTATAAGTCTTTGATCGTTCAATGGATTGACTACATTGCCATATTTGGTTTTGTCCTTTTGAGAACATTTTCTTCATGAAATTGATAGAAGTGGACAGAGAGAGAGAAAAAAGTTTAGAAAAAAAATATCTGAAGCATGGCAAAACTGATCATCATGTTATATTCTCCTGGGTAAATGTAGTATGGGTAAATGTAGTATCTTTTTAACAAGTAGATGAACAAAGGGTTGGACAAGTTTCAATTTTTTGTGTATTGCAAGAAGCATAAGAAGGTTAGATAAAAAATGTTAAATTAGATTGTACGCGTTTTGTAGATGCCGTTGAATCAATTTGTGCATTTGACCTAACCTATAAGCACGAGGAAGTGAAATGAAGATCTAAGTAGCTTTTCTAGTCTTACTGAAAAGCATGCTTCATATGTTCCCCATTTTCACTTCAAGTACACTAATTTAGGGACACATCAAAAATGGAAGAGCTTCAAGGAGACACCAAATGGTGACTTCTCTTCTCGCATCACATATTGGAATTTTAAAGGGAACTATCTGAAAGATCAGTTGCTCCCATGATGGTCAAAGTAGGAAATATGCTATTTGGATAACTAGCATTCTACCCTTCGGGGTGGCCCAGTGGTTTGGGCTTGGGACTTCCATGTTGGAGGTCTCAAGTTCGAAACCCCTTGCCAGCGAAAACAAGGGGTTTGCCTTTTGGGTCGAGCTCGTCGCACGGGGCTTGCCTAGTGCGGGTTACCTCTCCAACGTGGTTTGCGAGCTATTGCATAGGACCCCTACCCCTGTGCGCACCCTAAGGGTAGCGGCTGCGGGTTTTCCTTGTTATAAAAAAAACAAAAAAAACTAGCATTCTGTTGTATCTTCCAAATAAGGGTGTTGTAATTAGTGGCCAGATATTGAAATGCCAGATTTACTTGTACAAATTGGACCTTGCATGTTGCTTCTTTTTTTTATACATTGTTATGTTTGTTGAACTATAAACTTCTAGAATAAACTTGCAGAATTTGTAATTTCAAAAGGCTTTGGGGACACTTCCTATCATGTAGATAGTTCAAGTCTTGCTATATTTTAGTCACCATTGAGCTGATCAACCTAAATATAAACATGGTACCAATACTGTTTCCCGGATGACTATTATAACAACATGCTTATCCAATGGGTAGCTACTCACGTGGGTTTCCTCGATGTAACCATTGGATAACACCAATAGAATTTAGCCATGTGGACGAACTCTTCCATACCCTCTCCCTCTGTTAGGCCACAACTTACATATTGGTCTTATAGCATCTGCAGACCTATAGTATTGAAGAGAACACATGTTTTGGGAGTTTGTTTGATCCAAAATAGTGATATCTTATCTATGGTGAAATTGCTGTTTGCTCTTGTAATTGTGTTGGATAATGAATGAAGAACCTGTGACCACTTCTTCCTATAGATATGTTTCAGTATGAGTGCTAGTCTATACTAGTAGATTCTATTCATAGGTCATATATATGCTAAGCAACATAGATCCATAAATGAGTCAAAGGAAGAATGAACTTTAGAGTCACCCTGATGGGTGGTTCATCAACTAACTAAATTTCTTTTTGCACCCGAGTCTCTGGCTTAGCGGTCAATGAAGTTGGTGAAAATCATGAGAGACCAGGGTTCAAAATCCTAACAAAGGTAAAAAACTCTAGATGGTTTCTTTTCATTTGTCTAAGCCTTGTTGGACACAATTACTTGGTGCCTTTATTGGTGAGAGGCGGTTGGTACCTGGTGAAATAGTCAAGTGGTGCAAGTTGGTTCGAGCACCACAATTATCATTTAGAAAAAAAATCTAGTAAAATTTCTTTTCTCCCCCCTTCAAAGATGGCTTGCACATTAATGGGACTGTCTTTAATATGTATTTCTTCCTCTTTGTTTCTTCAGCTTTAGAATTCCCCATGCTAACAGTTTGCTTGTGTATTTCTTGAATTTGGATAATATACCTTGAATGACATAACATTTCAGAAGAGATCGAACAATATGTGTGGTCATCACTCATCTTTTTATTTATAAATGGGTTGGGAATTTGTCCCTTTTTGGTCCAGAAACCTACAAATCCTCCTGCCTTCTCTTTATCCGAATTAATTGTTTTAATATGGTTATCGAGTTTTTTTGCTCTGGGGTTCCATTAGCTGCTAGGGTCATATGATAAAGGTGATCTTTTGCCTTTTAGTGAAGTTTTGCAGCTATCAAATGTCTTCACCCACGACCTATCAGTAAAAATGAAGTATTGACCTAAACTTTTTATGGTTGAGACACGTGGAATGATCTATGTCCTCCAATGTAGGGTTTTGGGCTTGTTAATGCAACATGAAATTTTTTTCTGGTACAGTTGTATTTGCTTTGACCTACAGATAGTTTCGAAGATGCCATCTATATGACTTGGCGTCTCTATGAGCAATTATCATGGATAGATCAAGAGGGAATTGTGTTGCAAATGGTTAATGATCTAACAGGAACTAATAAACAGAGTAGGTCTTGAAATTCATACTTACATATTGGAGTTTAGAGATTTCTGCAAATGCTTATTTTGCTCATCGATTGTCAGGGAAACAAGTTTTTGTCTCATAATCTGATATTGTGAGTTTGCTGAAGTTGTGTTCTCTTCTCTTCTTTTTACCTTTTTCATTCTTTTTTGTTTATGTATTGGGTAGTAAGAATTGAAATTCAAATTACACCTGGTGACTTTAAGACTAGGAGGTTACCTTCCAAGCTATTGAGGCTATTGGACTGTTTGCGATTATCACTTCTTTTACCATGTTTAGATTGACCTCAGGTCATGGATTACCTCATTCATCTTATCCTCGTCTTTCATAGTTGATCTTCAGGGACACAATATTTAATGTAGATACAGTCCAAACAACCACAAGTCGCACCCTTGCTTCAAATCCATCAGCTAACACATCTTTTGGTCCAGTGACAATTCCTACCACTTATCTACCACCAAATGTGTTGTGAATTTCTGAGTCAAATGACCAATTTGTAAAACTTAATTGATATAACATCAGAACATCAAGACCAACATCTTGTCTTTAATGTACTTGTTTGCCTAAATCCATCACCTGGAGGCAAAAGTGCCTGTCTGGTTTCTCCAACAATATGGCTCAGTCCTTAGTGTAGAAATTTGTATAGATGTTTTAGAACTACTGCAGTTGGCTCAATCAGAACAGTGAGCAAGCAGCAAATACTGGAAAGTAAAGTTGTTTACTGTTAAGGATAATTTCAGGTAGGAAATCACTAGGCCGAACTGTTCTGTTATCACTATTCATCTTGTCAAGTTTCCCTAGTGCAACTGGCATTGATCAACAGGGGCAATTCAGAAAGGAGTAAGTAGAGTAGAGATTGTGGCTTTGTATAGTTTGATAGGCTACAGAGTGGGAAAATTAATAGATGGGGAAGGTAGGGGTGGTAGGAGCAACCGGAAATTGGGAGAAAACATAGATAGGAAATTTGGTAGGGCAAAGGGGGAGTAAGGGGACCTCAGGTGTGAGTTGAGGTCAGAATGTAAAATTACAAACTGGTCAATCGGGGTGGTAGCTGAGGATGGATTTTTAACAGAGTACTTTACTTTTCTTTTCTTTTTTGAAACTGGTCAATGTGTATTCCTCAACATTGAGGACATGCTGGAGACCATCAAAAAGTGTTAAGAGTTAAAAAAAATAAATAGAAAAAAAGATACTTGCACAGATCTTAATAGATCTACAAAATGATCTATATCCTCTAGACCTACTTCTTTACAACAAAAGTAGAATGATATTATACAATTCCATTTAACTTTCTGAATGGAATTGGATCTATCTTCAAAGCACCTCCCATTTCTCTCTCTCCAAACTCTCCACCAGATGCATTGAGGTATGATCCTCCACCACTTCTTTTGACTTTTGCTGCTTCCTCTTTTCATCCAGCAGCTAAGCAAATTTGCAGTATGCTCCGGCATGGTCCAACTTGTCTTTGTTATGTTGAGAAATAGAGACCAAAGCGGTGCTGTAAGAAGCACCTGGAAACTACGATGGCCCCTTTTTTCTTCAAAACTTCTTGTGTCAGGCATGTTCTTTTAACCACCAACCAAGTAAAGCATTTTACCTTAACTAACACAAAGTGCACTAGGTACCATTACTTTTAATAATTCTGGTTGATTTTATTAGAATTAATGGTTCCTACTTCTTAGTGCACTTTGTGTTAGCTAAGACTGGTTTTTCCGCGCTTGAAACTTTGTGCTTACTGAGGCATATGTTTAGAAGCATGTTGAGCATAAGTGGAAAATGAAGATCAGCTGGTAGAATTAATGAGTTCAGAAACATAGAGTCGCTCTCTTTGTCGTATATTGTGGATACTCATCTAAACCCTCAAAACATTGCCCTTTAGTTCAAGCCCCAAGGACTACCTTGATGGCTGATGGGACCATAACATTTTCTGCATTGGATGTGATGCAGAAATATGTGCTTTTTTATTCCAGAGTAGGATTGTTGGAAGAATTAGTTCTATACGCTGGCTTACATGTGTATGCTTCTCTAATTTTTTGGTTGAAATCATGCCATATTTCATCTTTGGCCCGATATGATCATAGATTGACTTGGTTGGAGTGAAAGTAGGAAACAGAGGGCTAGCCAATACTTATTTTATTTTTGGGATTACTATGGAATGACCAGGAATCAAACAACCTAAGAGCACTTTCAGTTGCATACTTGCATATATTTGCTAACCTTGTGTTTTTCTTTTAAAAACACTGGGGTGGGGCTGTTTCCATATTTTTCGGCAGCCATAATATTTTTTGCGATTCAACCATGCCCAAGAAAAAAAAGAAGGAAAAAAGTTCTTGTGATTCAAATCACATCTTTGTTGTCACAACTTCTTATCAGTCGAACTCTAGTTACTCTCTGATAATTGTACAACTCTTATAGTTGATTGTTAGAGCTGTAATTGGTCTGCAATTTTCATAATCTTATCCCTCTAGTGGTCAAAAAATTATTGCGGAGTTAGATTTCTTTCATTGTTGAAAATGATCCTCCCTTCTTAAGAAACAAGGCTGTTTAGTGCTCTCTTTTCGAGGGTGTATAATGTTGTTTAATGCTTGTACTAAGCTATTTTACTCTGAGGCTAGCCCTATTCTGCATTAACTTAGAACTTAGAAGGGTGAAGCTGCTTGCTAGCACGAAATAATGTTGCATGGGTTCTTAGTGCTGATTGAAAGAAAATCATGAGGTTGTGTAATAAGGTCATCTGAAGTTCAATTTCACTTCGAGTAAAGATTTTGGCGCTTAAAAGCTATTCCATTGAAGAGGAAGTATCAGTTTCCTGTACCAGCTACATATGTCTATAGTAGAGTAACTAGCGATTGTTAGAATTGGGAGTACAGATTCTTCTAGTTTCTGCAAAACCAGATATGATATTTAGGAGTCTATTGTTTTAAAAAGGTCGGGAATGAAGATTGTTAATCCTGTTTCTTTATGATATTGATTAGCTTTTGCAAATTCTACATAACTGACACCAGTTTCTGGTTTTCTATTGCAGTTAACTTGTAAGGTAACTACATCAGAAGCTGTAGTCCAGCCCTCAATTCCTGTTCAGATTGTGCAGATCATTATTGCGATGCTGGTCATGGACACATGGCAGTACTTTGTGCATCGCTACATGCATCAGAACAAGTTTTTATACCGCCATATTCACTCCCAGCATCATCGGTTGGTTGTGCCTTACGCGATTGGTGCCCTTTATAACCACCCACTTGAAGGTCTCCTCCTGGATACTTTTGGTGGTGTTCTTTCGTTTCTTGTTGCTGGAATGACTGCACGTACTGCTGTAATTTTTTTCTGCTTTGCTGTGGTCAAAACAGTTGATGATCATTGTGGACTTTGGCTGCCTGGTAATATCTTCCATTTGTTTTTCCAAAATAACACTGCTTACCATGACATTCATCATCAGCTTCAAGGCACAAAGTTCAATTATTCTCAGCCATTCTTTTCCATTTGGGACAAACTTCTTGGAACATACAGGCCATACAGACTTGTAAAAAGGCCTGAGGGTGGTTTCGAGGCCCGACTGATGAAAGATTAGTTGGTTTTGATCATTAGTCTCTGTATGAAATCAACATGTCTTTTGTAGGGATAGCTACCAAGTTGAGGTTGTTCACTCTAGCAGTTGCCTTGGAAGGTCTACGTTCATCAAGACTTGGAAGTGTGCTGCAGAAATTAGAAATGTTCATTCTTTTCTTTTCAGTTGACCCTGTTTATTCGTAATTTTTGTCTAACCTCTTGACGATTTGTAAGCCTATTGTTTCTGAGTTCTTACTTTGTGCAGTATACTTTTTCAACTATTGCAACTTGCTCAGACTTTAGCAGGTTGATTTTGTATTGCCTTTCAAGAGTTGTGTCGCGAGAAATCAAGATCATGTAATTACATTTGTTCAAACTATGTAGTGTAAAATTTCGTGGTCATTGAAGTTATTTCAATCACCCTTGTGCTATTCTATTTGAAGCCTTTGTGATACACTTTATAAAGAGTTGTGAAGTTTATCCTTAGTTCTTCTTTGATAAACTCTCATTTATTCGACTACTTGAGGAGCCTGCCTTAGCACCAATCTATGATTCAAAATATTGCTGCTTTAGCACAACATTCCATTTGCTTAAGAAAAAGATTCAACTAGTGCATACATGTAAAGCCAAAAAGTACATTGAATCAACAGCAAAAAAAATGTCTAAAGCTCCTCTTTTCATAACATAGTATAAAACAGATTCCTCATCACAAATTTCTGCAAGAGGAAGAAGTCCTTTGCTTCAAATTTTTGAAAATGAATCACATCTCTTGTGAGAGCGAACTCTGGTATAATGGTAGAGTTGCTCCTTTGGTGACCTGTAGACCGCGACTTCTTCAGTCTCTCAGCTGAAATGCCAAGTAATGCTGCATACTAAATACTTCCATTCTCCCCCATCTCTCAAACTCGGGAAGCATTTCGTGCAAAAGTTGAGCCCTTTTCAAAAATGTGCTTTTTACACAGACCTAGATCAACCTCACCAGTATTCTTTGCAAGAACAAGCTCCATCTTTGAATCTGTGAAAACGAGTCCTGTCCCTCACAATAATCTCCCGCTCATATATCTTTGATATGAGCTTAATCACAACATGACAATCCCCACATATTCTAAGATTCTTATTCACACTTAAACAAGTTCTATCAGGTGTACTAATCAAACCAAAAGCTACTGCCAGTTTCTCACTATGATAACACAGTGCATTCTCCTTCTCCTCCGGTCCAATATCATGAAACACATAGTTAGTTTCTGCCACATACCCGTATTCCCTAATCCTTAATGAAACCTCATCAAGCTTCCAGTAAATCTCATTCCACTTTGGATGGTTCTTATCACCATTCATAAATTTGTATATCGTTCCACCAACTTCAATATAGCTAAAGCCTGGTACCTTCTTTACATCCTGACCTTTCATGGCTTCCCTTACTCTTCTCACATCATGCCACCTCCCTTGTGCTGCATAAAGATTGGATAGCAACACGAAATCCCCACAATGATTTGATCCCATTTCAACGAGCTTCTTGGATGCTATCTCTGCCATTTCCACATTACTATAAGTCTTGGAAGCCCCTAAGAGAGTTTGCCATAAAACTACATCTGGGACTGTAGGCATTGACTGTACAATTTTATAAGCTTCCTCCAACCGCCCAGCTCTTCCCAACAAGTCCACCATACTACCATAGTGCTTTACATTCTTACTCACTCCACATCTATCCATGTCATCAAACAATTTCATTCCCTCCTCCACCATTCCTGCATGGTTACAAGCACAGATTGCAGCTAAGTAACTCACACTATCTGGGTCAATCCCAGCTTGGCTCATTCTTTCAAAAAGCTCAAGTGCTTGCTCTCCATCGCCATACATCGCGAGTGCCATAATCATGGTATTCCACGTGACACGAGTCCTCGAGCATTTCATTCCATTGAAAACTTCATAAGCTCTTCCAACAAGACCACATTTCGCATACATATCAATAACCGCATTACAAACAATTACTTTGCTATCAAGATTCTTACTTTTGATATACTCGTGAACAAGTTCCCCTTCTTTATTCGCCCCCAATTGTGAACAAGCAGAGAGAGCACCAAGCACAGTAACCTCATTTGGTTCCATATTCTCCTCTCTCATTTTCTTAAAAAGCAACAAAGCCTCAGTGGGTCGATTCCCTTGAGCTAACCCAGCAATTAACGCATTCCAAATCGCAATATCTCTAACACCCATTTCATCAAACACCTTGTATGCATAATCCAAATCACTACATTTCGAGTACGCATCCAGTAAAGTTGTACGCAACAGGACATCTGCAGCAAACCCAAATCGAATCACATGGGCATGAAGTTGTGGGGTTTCGGAACGGGCCAATGCACGGGCACATGCTTTGAGAGTGAAAGAGCAGGTGAGAGCATCAGGCTTACAAAGGGAACGAGACATTGAGACATAAAAAGTGAGAGCATCAATGGGGTTGTGGCTTTGGGCAAGGCCGCGAATAATGGCGTTCCATTCATTCTTGTATGGGGAAGTGATGTGGCGGAAGATATGGGTGGCGTAAGGGAGGTTTCCGGCGGAAGAGACGGCGCAGAAATCCAAGAATTTGGCGCGGCAAGTGTAGAATTGAAAATTGCCGGTGATAATAAGATGGGCTTGGAGTTGTTTGAGTTTGGAGAAACAAGTGCATTTTGACAATAACGTATCAACGTAGGCCATAGTCCACACTAATGTTGCTTGGGGCACTTTTAAATGGGAACACTTAGGGTGCCTCGGTGTAATCGGTAAAGTTACGAGAAGGTCATGAATTTGAGTCATCGAAATATTTTTTTGCGGATATATAAGATAATATTATGTACGCCGTCCTCTGTTCAACGATATTTGTCCACTCTATGAAATCAATGAATAATTTTACACTTAGTTCCTAATTTACCCTTATCATTAATTATAGTCATTTTTCTATTTCATTTTTCAAGACATTGCATTTATTATATTCAAATGATGATATAATAAAAATATCCTTTTATTTATAGTTTTTTAAAAAAGAGTGCAAAATCAATAGTGGACATGTGTTGAACAGAGGGAGTACAATAATTTTTTGTGATTTAACGTTGAACTCTACGCATAAAGGAATTTAGTGTACTAGTTGCAAACAAAGAGCCGTTTGGTATCAACAACACAAGTTATGTTTGAGTTAGTTATGATGAAATTAATTATTTTGATATTATTTTATTGACGATTTGATTTATTGTATTAAAAATAATATGTATTACATAATTTTTAAGAAATTTTTTTTGTTTACCTTATTTAGTAGAAAAAGGAGTTTGAGGGACCTCAAGAATATTTTGTCATTTTCATTATTTCATGTCGAGATAACTAATCTCAATATTATTATTATTTTATCCTCTTATAATAATAACTTATCACAATATTAATTATTAATTCCAATATAACTTGTCCAGCATATCAACCGACCTTTAAGAAACGAGCCCAAACATTATTATTATTTCATGTTGAGATAACTAATCTCAATATTATTATTTTATCCTCTAATAAGAATAACTTATCACAATATTAATTATTAATTTCAAAATAACTTGTCCAGCATATCAACCGACCTTTGAAAACCGAGCCTAAACATGTGAACTTTTGGTGGTGAAGTGGCTCACGAACCTTGGTGATGAAGTGGTACTTAATTCGATAGAAAAATTATTAAATGTGCGAATAAAATTTAATATTTAAAAATTGATATGAAAAATAGATTATATATTATATATAAGATGCAAGTAATTCTTAATGTGAACTTCCTAGGTCTAATTTTCTCGATTTTGTTTCTTTGCCTTCCTCCTATAATTGATCTTTTCTCTTTTGCTGTTGCTATTTAACTATCAGACTAATACTCAATTTGTAGAGGATATTTTAAAGAAAATCATGTAAGATTTGAAAAAACCAATTATAGATATAGATGACTAATCATGGTAAATGCATGTGTTTAGTGGCTAGCGATGATGGTGATCGATAAAAATTGATGATCGTAATAAATTAAAAGTGATGATAAATGAAGATGATAATCAGTGATAACTAATGTCAATGATTGGTGTCATGGTAGTAATGATAATTATAAATAGTGATAATAATAATAATTACTATAAATGATGATTAATAATTACATTGTGACGATTGATTATAGTAATTATCAACAATGTTCGTTGTCTCAGAATAATGATTGAGGTGATAGAGCGAATGACAACAACGATACCCGGCGCTAGTGAAGAAAGGATAATCCCATTAACAAACTATCATCTTTATAATCTTATTAATTAATAACAAATTTAGTAACTGAGATTTGAATTATTAAAACTAATATATTCAAAACAAATGAGTCTCTTTTTTATTTTAAAAAAACAGAGAAACACCTGAAATATAGTAGTTTACACAAAATGAAGGACCCAGAAGTATCTAGACATTTCCAGTAGGCCCCACCTCTCTACAGCTCCATATATATAAAGCAACTGCCATTTGCATAACTTTCTTAACGCAATTGTATCTCTCAATTTTCCCCTTTGTGTATTATAATCATGAGGTATGTATGTTCTTCAATCTCTGTTTTTTTTCTTTACAGTTTGTGTATATTTTATCTATTGCGTTATGAGTATTGAGTAGTAGACTTGTAGTTGCACTGTTTGTGATGTTTTTAATTTTACTGTCGAAATGTTTGAATTGAACCCTAGGATTTTAGAGTTTTGAACCTCGCATTAACAGAAAATTATACATGGTTAATTTATTTTTTTTACGTATATAATGTGGATGTTGGAATCCTTTTGGATTCTTCATCTGTGGTAGATCAAGAATAGGATTTGAACTTGGTACCTCAAGGTGAATTTTAAACCCCCGAAACCACTGATCTTATGTTTAGGAGGTTTGAAATCTCTCTCTATATATATACAAAAAAAAATAAAAAAATATGAACACCCTTGGTACCCTCTAGATCCATCCATGCTCTTCATGTTTTAGAACCCCTTAGTGTGCTCATCCCTTGAACCCAGGGTGGAGCCAGGTAGGGCCAAGAGGGTTAGTGTTTCAATTTTTTAATAGTATTTAGTGTGCCTGTCCCTTGAACTAGGGACAGAGCCAGGTAGGGCCAAGAGGGTTCATCTGAACCAAAACAAACCCCTCTTTGATGGAAAATTATATGGGTTGTACATGGTTAAGCTTTTTTTTTTTCATATGTTTTACTTTTTTATATTTTGAAACTCCATCTTAGCTCTATCACTGCGTTGGAATTGGTTTGACGTGGTTCTTGATTCAGAATAAATAGATTTCTTCTTCTGCATTTAACTATATAGCAATTGGGTCCGGCTATAATGAGTCATCTTTCAATTTCTTGCATCCTGAATATTGTGGGATAATTTACTACAGACAATAATGACAAAGGACATAGTTAAACATATGATGAATAACACTGAAGAAAATAATGATAATTTGTTTGCTCATCTCCTCAAAATTTCTTGTTTTGAAATACATTTTGTGACTTCTCGGACTGGCTGTGCCTTACTAGCTATGTTGCTCGGACTCTTCAAAAATTCCAATGGGTCAGATTCTCCAAAAGTAGTGTATTTTTGGAGAATCCGACACGTGTGTAGCATTGGAAGTGTAGAGTCGGCGCAATTAAGGTTTCTAGAGTATCTATCCAGAGTTGAAGACATCCTGCTAATTGTCTCTTCCTGGGTTTGCCTTGATAGTGGTTGTGATTTTTATGATTTAGTTGATATCCATTTGTTCTCTGCTTCTCTATCTCAGCCGACATCCTACTATCAAGTGGGCTCAGAGGTCTGATAAGTTGTTTATTACGGTGGAGTTACCGGATGCCAAGAATGTGAAGCTGAAACTGGAACCAGAAGGAAAATTCTTGTTCTCTGCAACTGCAGGAGATGATAATGTACCGTATGAAGTGGATCTCGATCTGTTTGATAAAATTAATGTTGATGTAAGTGAATTTCCATCAGTTTGCTTCATCTGCAAATTTTTGTGTGAGATAGAATCCATGTTAATTTTACTGTAAAATGTAAAATGATCATTCAGGAGAGCAAAAGTAGTACTACCTCTAGAAGTATCGTGTATCTAGTGAAGAAGGCGGAAGAGAAGTGGTGGAGCAGACTGATAAAGCAGGAAGGATTACGTCCGGTATTTTTGAAAGTTGATTGGGACAAATGGGTTGATGAAGATGAAGAAGACGGTAAACGTAAGTATAATGTCACTAGGAATATCTTTACTGTTGATATTAGCCATTTGCTAACTATGATACTAATATTTCAGCTGAGCCGGATATGGATTTCGGTGACATGGACTTTTCGGTAAGCGGCTCTAAGAGATATTAATAGGCAATGGTGTTAATTTGAGTCTATATTGGTGCTGAAGTTTTAACATTATCCCTTTTATTATTCTCTCAGAAACTCAACATGGGAGAAGGTCCTAGTGATTTTGATGCTGATGTGCCTGAGGGTAAGTCTGATTTGGTTCTGCTGCAACAGAGCAATTACTGATATTCTCAGCTTCAAATCGTTTACTTTCAGCTTGGGTTGGAAATTTGTTATTTGTGTCTTCGTCTAATGTAAGTTGGCATTGTTTCTGCAGGAGACGATGATGACAGCGACACTGAAGAAATTGAGGAAGAAGAAAACTCTGAACCTAAGGCAGCAGTGCCTCTAAGCACCGAACCCAAAGTGAAAGCTTGATGCGTTTGTAACATTGAAAACTTTTAAATGCTTGAGTTTGAGTCTGGTACTTCATCTAGCTATGGTTAGAGCTGTAGTGCAGGAAATGTTTGATGATCAGTTCATGATATATTTGAAGGATCTGAAAGTGCTGGTGTCCTCTTTGAACGTTGTTATCATCTACTCCACTCGCATCATGCGCATTACATATGGTTTCTCCAACGTAATGTCTCTCTTATCTTCTGAAAGATTTTTGTTTCAAAACGATTCGAGGTTTTAGTCTTGTTTCTTTTCCTCAAAAAAGAAAAAATGGTTCTTCTAGTAAATTCTAGTAAATTTAGGAGTGTACAAGTCAAATCGTTAAGTCAAGTCAAGTCAAATCGAACCAAGTCCTGGTGTTGGAAAAGAAACCTGACCTCTCTTTGGTTTGGTATATAAGAAGATAAGAAACCGATCCAACGACACTTTGGGCTAGTCATTTTTTTAAAAATATTCTATTTTATATTTAGTTTGATTCAACCTCTAATCTTATAGATATAAGATATAGAAAGTATTTTGCATTTATGTGAATTTTTAAAGTCTTTTTGAAGATTTCTAATCATTAATGTTTAAGTTCTAGCATATCACACAAGTAATCAAAAATATATTTGATCTCCTTTTAAATCACTACATTATTATAAGAAGATCGAAAAACCAAAAAAATCGAAAGAACTAACTAAAACCAAAATCAAGAAAACCGACTTTATATAGGTTTGATTTGATTTATAGATTTAATAAACCAACATAATTGATTTAGTTATTTGTTATTTTTTAGTGAAAAATCAAATCGAACCGATCTATGTATACCCCTACTAGCTAGTGCAGTGCAACGTTCAGTTTGCACAATAACATGTGGAAATCTATGTATCATTATAAAAACCAAACATTGATCTTGTATAATCGTATATCCTATTGCTGTCTGCATTTTCACATTTTTTTTACAGTACAACACTAGCATTACAAGTCCTTCAACTAAACAATGATTGTCCACTTCTTTTCTGATGAAGTTTTCCCCTTCTTTTGCTCCCTTGTCCGGCCTCAAATCTTTCCAGTAAATCATAGATACTTGCCTTAGGTCCTTTTCCCCAGAAATATCATATGGGCACAAGTCACGTGTCTGAACCTAGTCGGAGACCAAGCGGAGAAAGGTAGATAGGCGTACTATCCACATAGTTTTGAACCTAGTGCTATAGAAAAACCGGGGAGGGGGGTTCATGTATATAATGGCCAGCTGATGAACAGGAAACATAATGTTAACTTTGCCTAGATAAAGAGTCTTCTTGAGAGAAATCCGCCAACAACACATGGCATCTCTATTCTGGAAACAGGCAATGATCTCACACAAGATACTGTAGCATTTTGTAGGTGAGGACAATGAGATCTGTTTGTCTATCAGAAGAGCAAAACTGGTTCAGAAGTACCAAGTTCAGAATACTTTTTACCAAATTTGCTTCATGTACTTCCCCAGGACGGATCAAAATTGATAAATAAGCTGGAAAAAGTTTTCAACATAAAATTAAGCTCTTTCAAGATAATTCACAATGACTTGGTCGCAACAAGGGACGAATGTGGGAGGCTCTATCTTTTCAGTGTTCTGTCTCCAAATTGGAAGTGATGGGGAAAAGTGAGAAAAGGTAAGAGAACAAAGATAGGAGTACAAACATCATTAGCCAAAGGCTTCTAATAATCACCATGGAACACAGGTAGACATAGTTCCATCAGAAAGTATATTATAGGTCATCCCACTAGTGAGATTAAACATCTCCAAAATAACAGTTGGTCTATAGGAGATCCCCAACTTTCAGCCATTTCCATTCTAATACATGAGAATAAGAAATATTACGTGCAGTTTACTAAAACCTAGAAAGATATCTATGAGTTAAGTCCCAAGTGCAACAAGATCCCTTCTTCCATCACCTATAAATGAAGATGTATTCTCACCGAGTGCTCTTCAATGTTTGATTTGTATTTATGATCCGAAAGATGGTCAAGGGTCAAGGATATCAAAACCAAAAACAGCGACTGTAATACGAAAACCTTCTTTTTCTGAAACTATACGGAAACTTTCTTTGAAAATAAAGAACTAGGAGAACTGAATATTAGCTAAAAACGTACAAATATCTTAACATAGCGATGAAAATGTACAGATAGAGCCAGTTCTGGCTAAACATACCTAGTGGTCCAATATCTCCTTAGCAACTTTTTTCAACTCCATGACAGAAAGCTACAGACTTGGAGTAGACACTGGAGCCATGAATAATTTTCAATATCCACGCATGTCGGAGTATCAATTCCGACCCAAAGAGCTACTCAAGACTGACAAGGAGCATAAAATCACATCTGGAGTTCCAATCAGAACACAGTTTCCTAATCCTTTAAATGTTATCTGCAGGGCAACAGGGGTAAGTTAGGCATGTAAATAAAGGAAAGAGGATATGGAAATAAATTGCATGGTCATTCCTTCAATCAAAGGGATTCCAAACCTTCCCATATTTACAAGTATGGATTCTTTTCATACTTACAATTTTCAACTTCAATATTCTTGACAAATCAAACACTGAGTGGATGCAAAAGTCACAAATTCAACAATCTGCCACACAAGCTAAAGAGCACTGACCTATTAGATACAATACCCAATGGAACAACTGAAGAGAAAGACGTCCTTTCCTGGAACTTTTTGTCTTTGAGTGAAATATATAATTTACAATGAAACAATGACCCCTACCCCAGAGGTACAGCACATCTCAGGTAGATAAAAATGGAGAGAAGCCTGTCAAAATTTGGCAAAGGATGGCTCAATATTGTCTTGACTCTTTCCCCAGCGTGCAAGAAGAATATTTCTTGATACCTAAAAGAACTAATCCAGGCCAACCCACTTCCTAAAGTGCCTCACATGCTCAATCCTCTGAGTTTGTACGTCATTTTTAGCATCAGATACTTTTATTCTTAGGTAAAGACCCTTGTGATATTTCAAGAACTCACGTCTATACATCCACTTGTCCAAATACATGCCATTTTCTTTCATTAAACCAATAACCTCCATCACCCTATGAAAATAACCGCCTCGAAGAAAATTCAACAGCAAGAACTCGTATAAATCCCTGGTATTCAAGTTCTTATGACTTTCCATGTTCCTTTTAATATCTCCCCACAAGATTGTAATTTCACGATACATCCCTAAAGAAGAATACCCGTTAAGCAGATTCATGAAAGTTGACACTGTAGGATGGATCTTCATTGCCTGCATTTTTCGGTAAGCCCTAACGGCATCTTCAACCATGTGAGCCTTCATAAAAAAGTAGATAGAAAAATTTAAATCATGCATCATAAAAGAAGCTTCATTTTCTTCAGCTCTCATTTCTTCAACAATATGGTACGCCAGCTCCCCTTTCGCCGAAGAGCCTAATTCTTTCAGCTTCTTCTTGCTTTCATTTTCCAGTTCACACATAGATGCAGGATCTAACAATGGATCAGATGCATTTATGACACCTGATTTTCTTAATTGCTTTAGTAGTGCCTCTGCCTCCCTTAGCTTATTATTGTTGCAATATGCAGTCAACAGAGACACGTATGAACTAGCGTCCAGCGGATTTCCTTCAGAATCCAAATCATCCAAAATATCATGAGCAATTTCAAGCCAACCCATGCAAATGCAAGCAGCAACCACATCAGAGCACATTCTGCTAGATTCAACTGAGCCCTTCTTCTGGATACTACAGAGAAGCTTTGATAGATCATTAATTCTCCCACCCCTCTTGTACTGTATAATAAGCTTGGCCAATGCTCTGTTGCTAAGGACAAGTTTCCCATTCTTATACTTAACAAGCACCTGATTACGTCCCACATTGAAAACAGAATCCCTTGATAATGAATGAGGAAAAATTCGTAACTTCAATCCCGTTCTCAGATTATCAGAGCCAATAGCAACAATGCACGGTTTAGGTGGTTGTGTTTCATTTCCCTGCTCGTGATGCGACACTTGAAATCCGTAAATATCTTGTACAAGATCAGAAGCAGCATCAATATCATTAAACTTGAAATGTAAACACAAGAGACTTTCATAGAATTGCTGATAGCAGGAAACCAATGGAACTGAAACCTGATCTATATGCTTCTTAAATTTCTTTAATTCATCCCGCATACCATTCATCTCATGGATCAAGGAAATAATTGAAATAGTATGAGCATCAGCTGTCACTCCAACTTGGGCCATTAACTCAATAATCTGATGGCCTTTACTGGATGATCCAAATCTTGCACAAGCATCAAGAACAAGATTAAAAAGAAGTGTATTATGTTTATTTAACTCAGTGCAAGTGGATTTCTTTGTGGTTAATTGTTGAGAGCTACCACATATCTCAATCAAAATGTTTGATGACACAATCATTCCAGTATCAGTCTTCACCATGTGAAATATTATCATCCCTAGCATGTCAATAGGTGGGAGGTTTCCTTTGTCCAACATCAGTCTGAGAATTGATGATGCTTGAACGGGCATTTGAGCTCTAGCCAACGATAGGCAGAGCTTGGTCATTAACTCTGTGCGTAGCATCTCCCTTTTCTCTTTTAAAATAGATCCTACCATATTGCATGCCTTTTTAAGCCATCTAGAATCAGATGAGTACGACAACTTAGTGAGAAGCTTATCTACAAGAAAGGGGTCAGGGAAACCGTAAAGACGTTTGAAATCCTTGTAGGTTTCCCAAGCCTCTTCCAAGTTGTGATTCCTCAATGCACTTTCAAGCTTTCCCAGCAAAACAACGTCAGATGAGACTCCCCAAGATAATGTCTCTGACTCTCTACTGGAACCGAACTGTCGAGAAAACATCACACCTCCTGGTTTATAGTTTTCATATGAAATTGAGGACTCTGTTCCCAAATATTGGGGAACATATGTGCTATTGTAGGTCAATCTGATGGCATTTGAAGACACAGCAACAATGGAAGAGTAGCTTTTTCGGAAGACAGAGCAAACTGTGATAGCTTTTTGTAAGGAGCATGCCATAAAGATAACACTATCCAGAAAACCACGAGTAATAAAGTGTTATGACATTGTATCCTGGAAATAATAGAACATTATACTAGAATCTGCACAAACAAACCCAGAAATACCAAAGAATGAGGAAGGAAAATAGTGTAATAGCCTCAAAACTAAATTCACCACTAAAATATATGACAAATCAGAAACCATTGCAATTACATGATCCAATCCAAAGATATACAGACAAATTGTTCTCAAAGCAGCATTGCTTGTAGCTGACGTAAAATTTTTAACAAGCTGATTCTGTCGACCTTACAAATTTTGAAGCACGTCTGACAAAAAAAGAAACAGTACTACATACTAAGGCACTGACAACTTTATTTGTAAGTACTGCAACCTTTTCTTGATGTAACTTAAGATCTTGGCAGACAAAGATTGTTTACTAAACTACTAGTCAACCAAAAAAGATCTAAACTACTAGTCAACCAAACAAGATCAAGTTCCCTTACATAGTAGTTTTTCCCTTACATGGACTAACTTGGATATTACAAATAGGAAAAAGACATAGATTCCATCCTAAACTTGTCCCGAAAAGTCGACTTCACGCTCAAACTAGTATGGCGACCTATTACACACCTATTCTTACTAAAGTGAAACTAATACCTGAACAAACAAGTTAGGATCCTGAGTTATACGAACTTCGTTGAATTTTTGAAATATTTAATATTAACTGATTTGAGATGGTTGGAAATTGAAGCTATTGAAGTGGGAGAGTCCAAGGCTATATAAGCCCCACTTCAGCTCCCCATTAAGCCGATGTCGGATTCAAGTCTCATTCCCTGTAATAATATCATAACAACTTATGTTCCTCATACTCTTCAAAAATGTTGGTAAGTGCATATCGGATCCTCCAAAAGTAGAGCATTTTTGGAAGATCTGATTTTTTTGCGAGCCTGAGTAACATAGCTTATAACTATATAACAAGCACTAAAAATGTTTTTTTTCTTTTTTTTGACGATTTTACAAGTGCTGACAATGCCATAAGAGGAGTTTTTCATAAAATTGACTAATATGAGAAGCGAATAATCATGAAAAAAACTCAAAGTTAACAATTACAGAATGCATTGCAGCACAGTTCACAATTAGTAATTCAGCGTTAGAAATTATTGGATTAGGGTAATACAGAAAAGAGAGTGCAACGAAGAAACTTACAACTTAAGTTCGAGCGGAGGTTGGCCGGAGGAACAGCGGTTGTTCGGAAATTGATCTCCGGTGGTGTTTTATCTATTTTGCCGGACGGGCCAAAAAGCACAAATTGTCATGTCCGGCCAATAAAAGTGTAAGGCCCAAAATAGTCTCTCAGGTTTGAGTTAACGCTCAAAGTTATCCTCAAATTTTCACACGGAGCATTAATAGTTCCTCATGTTTGCAATATTGGTGTACTTTTGATCCTTTTTCAAAATTTTGCCTATTTTTTAATTTTGATTTTATTCATAATTTATGTATGGAATGTTTAATCGTCATTTTATATATTTAGTTAGAAATAATAACTCCATGTGAGAGATTGTGAGAAGAAAAACATCTTGTTTTGTTTAGTAGAACTCATATTGCAGGTAAAGTCGAGAGGTTCATCACGATAATTTTACTGCAATAGTATAGTTTTTTTTCTTGCAATGTCATATGTTAAAATGTTCTTAGTTTAGCTGCAGTAATATTTATGCTAAACAGAACAAAGTGTTCTCTTCTAACATTCTCTCCATAGAGTTATTATTTCTACTAAATATATAAAAAGACGATGAGACATTTCTTACATAAAATTATAAACAAAATTAATGTTAAAAAATAGGCAAAAGTTTAGGGAAGGACCAAAAGTGCACCAATATTGCAAACATGAGAGACTATTAATGTTTCATGTGAAAATTCAATGATGACTTTAAATCTTAACCAAAAGATGAGAGACTACTTTGGGCCTTCTCTCACAAATAAATATTGTTAAACACTTTTTTTTTAATCAAAATGTCTGAAATATCTTAAAGCTGTTAACATAATAAAAAATTAAAATTCAGCATTCTTCTTTTTACAAAACCAATTTGCAGCTGAAAGTCGGCCGAATCCTCCACCAAATTATCCCAAATTTGAGATATGAGCTCTCCAAGACGTTCCTAATCTTTTGCAATAATATTAAAGCCGAAACGAAGCTTGTTTGCGGCAATCCAATTTTTCGAACTTGAGCTTCGATGGAGCTTTAACGGCGAATTTTCTTCTTCTTCAAATTGTTCCTCTCCAAACTCAATGGGTAACCACGAAACAGACTGGAATCAGCAACAAAAATCGATTGAAACAGTACTCATTCGGAACAAATCCCTGACTCGGGGATTTCAACTTCTCGAGCTAGTTTTTTTCTTATATTTCTAAAGTGGCAACAACTAATACATAAAACTTCAGCTCCAGTTCAATGGCTATCAACGAAATGGTTTGGAAACCAGCAGCAGATTGATTTTCAGATTTTTCAACTTTTTCTAGGTTTAATTTGAGTTTTGTAACATCTCGCAAATTAAAATAACTAGAAAGCAGTGAATAATTGGAAATAGTCGTTTTTGAAAAGAATGAAAATTTGAAAATTTTGTTAAGTTAGAATAAGGTGAGTTTTGATCAACTTCAAATGACAATAAATCCTAGCTAATGATGAGTTAGGTGTAATTCCAGATATGGTAGGAAAGCTCTTGAATTAATCTTTCCAACGCCGTCGAGTTTGTGCGATTCCGAGTTCGTATGAGTGAGATATATCCTTTGAAAGTTGGGTTGTTTGAATAAGGAAAGTCTAATTCGGATTTTGGAAGGGTCTTTTAGTCTTTTCCTTACCAATTGTTCTAATTCGTTTTAAGAAGTTTAATTGGGGTAAAGTCAGATTTTAATCAGTTTAGAAAAGTTGAAGTTCACGCTAGGGCTTGGAGAAAAGAGAAAAGAGGAGAAAGGAGAAGAAATCAAGAATCGTCAAGAACGTTCGAGTTTAGCTTGTGGATTACGTCAAGGGGTGATCCCTACGAGGTATGTGAGATCACATAGCGTTAGGTTAGTTCACTCACGCGCCAATCATGATTCAAATCAGCAAAGAATAATAGATTTGAAAGTAAATCCTTTGAGTTCTTGATAAAATTCGTTTGAATTCTTGTTGGTTGTGTTGTTGAAGTTTTCTTGAGTTTGATTCATGTTTTTAGGTGTGATTTCGAGTAGAATCTGATGTACTTTGAGGGTTTAGTCGATTCTAAACGTTTGGGGAAAGAACCATTGGAGTTTAAAGGGTTTAGAGATGAAAAACAAAGGAGAAAAATTGGGGATTTTCTGGGCAAGGGCTTGGGGCGTCACGCCTCACAGAGCGCCCCACTTCAGAGTCTGAAGTTTGGGCTCTGGGGCGACGCGTCAGCCAGAGCGCCACAACTTCAGCTCTGAAGTTTGTGCTCTGGCGGCCCGCACCTCTTAGAGCGCTAGGGACGCCAGTTCTTCCCATTTCTTCCTCAACTTTCCGTACTAGTTCCTTAACAATGTACCTATATTTTCTAGTTGATTCCAACACTCTTAGGTACATCTAAACATCATGAAATCATCCATAAAACATGATATCATGAACCTTGATCCATAATTCAATTCAAGGAAAGTAAAGAGTCAAGTCTAGAAGTTAAGAAGCAAGTCAAAGAGAAGTTTATAAAGTTTTCAAAAAGTTTTTCACAAACGTTTTAACTTTGTTTTAAGACTTAAAGTTCAAGTTGAGTAAAGAGTAAAGAGTAAAGATTGAAGTTCATTTCTTACAAAAAAATATAAAGGGAACTAAGTATTCCCAAGAGTTTAAAAATGCTTTTCACATTTGAACAAGAAAGGGAAACATCGATTTCCAAGAGAGCTTTTAAGCTAAAGTTTTGAGTAATCATCTCAACCAAAGAGAGAAGTTTTGATTTAAAATATATGAGCTAAGTATATTTTGGGAGTAGTATTGAGCAACGATATAGGGATGCGAGTTCATATTAACTCAAGTTTCCATAAACCATGTAGTCATCATGGGTAGTAAATGATCATACTTTTTAGATGACTCATTAAGTTGCTTTTTAGCATAGACTAGTGGATCCACTTATTTAAGTGTTCTATATGACGGCAAAGTATTGGACAATTCTGGTAGCGTGGGCAAGACGTTGTATCACCACTTAGGCTCATAGTGGTGGTTGTCGGTTAGAGAATCTCCCACATAAACTATATTACTTTATTATATGAGTAAAGTTGAGTTTGTTATTGCATTTTCTTTAACGAACTAAGTTGTTTTCCACTATTTTTTTACAAGCTTTCTATATATTGCATATGCTTTATTGCTTTATAATGAGTTAAGTTATTCAGGAGTTGAGTAAAACCAAGGTAAGTGTTCCTTTCAGATTCTTTTCAAGCCTATGTTGTGTTTAGCATTCCAACTCGCATACTCGTACATTCAATGTACTGATGCCAATTGGCCTGCATTTTATCATGATGCAGATTCAGGTAACCAGGATCATCACCCAGCGCCTCGTTGATCCAGTTGAGCATTCAGAGTCTTGTGGTGAGCCTTTTTGCTTTCCGGAGGATCCCTGTTTATATTGCTTTAGTAGTTTTCAGTTGTTAGGATGATCGGGGGTCTTGTCCCGACATCCATCTCAGTTATTAGAGGCTGCATAGATAGACAGTCAGTTAATTCATTTGTCTTTACCTTGTTATTGGCTTATGTTCAGATTTGAGTTGCCACTTTGGCTTAGTTAAATGTTTATTTTTAAATCATTATCAGTTTAGTTTGAGACCGTTGAGTTATCTTGCATTTGAGTTCTTTTATTAATGCTTAAAGTCTTCCGCTAAGTAAGTAAGCCAGGCCAAGGGTTCGCTTGGGGTCAGCAATGGTTCTCGAGTGCCAGCCACTCCCGGGGTGTAGGCTCGGGGCGTGACAAGTTTTGAATTTAAAATGGACTTGAGAGAGAGATGTTAGGGTTTTAATTCAACAGGGGCAATTTGGGAATTGTTTAAAAGAATTAAGGTTAAAAATATAATATACTTGGTTAAAGTAGAATGACTTTTAAGTTAAAAAATAAAGTAGGATCACCTTACTTTTAACTTTTAACTTAAAATAAGTCACTTTTGACTTAAAATAAGTTATTCTGATAATTGTCAAACACTGTAACAAGTTAAAAACTGACTTTTAAGTCAGTTTGACCAACTTAAAAGCCCATCCAAACGGGCACGAATCATGATTTGGATAACTGTGAATCGACTTAAGGATTTAGCAGCAATTTCGACAGGATTTCTCTCAAAAGTTTAAAGGAAAGTAGGAGGAGTCGGAAGACAACAACCCTTGTTGTAGAAGAAATTTTTGGTAAAATTTGCTTTAAAAATAAATTTGAAGTCACCATCAAATCAGCAACACACGAAAACAAAAACAATGAAAATGACCAGGTAGTAACATCACAGTAGCTATAACTAAATAATATGATAGCCGACTGATCAAGATAAGGTTCATCACTTGATTAGGATAAGGTTTCACAATAAATCAGAAATACATCAAAAGGCAACAAGAGTACACTAACAAATACATCGAAAGGCAACAAGAGTACATTAACAACATATGTAACGCAAAAAGCTCAATATTCAGTACATTTTCTAAACTAGGTATACAAAATTTGATAAAACATCTTCCACTTTCACTATCTTAAACAACCATGAACTTTGGTAAAATGTCTTACCTTCTTATCACATTTTTCTATGTTGCTTCGACAAAGTAGAAACACAATAATCTTCACTTCTTTCCAAGACCCTACCCAAAATGACATTGTTCTCATTGTGCAAGATAAGTGGTTTCTTGTAATTCAGAACATAAAACGAGGGACCGGTATCTTGAATACCAAGATCCCTATTTTCTCCACTATTTGGATCTTAAGAAATCGGATTGTTGCTGCAACTTGTAATCAAAACTTCACCATTGATCCTAAATCCAACTAATTGCTCCATATCCCCAATCAAATTTATACGATACAATTTACTTCAAGAATAAAAATCTCCATACTACTTCATCACCCATATTTCACATGAAACACGTTTTCTCTTCCTCACATACTTAACAACAAGAAGTGATAGCTCAAATAACAAAATCGATAAATCTGGTATACGTGCACCAACTAAAGCCTTCGGCAACATAATCTCCCCAAACATCTTATCCGCTATGTTAAAAGTCATAACTAAATTCTACTGGGGACCACCACTAAAAAACGTTACACACCATCGCATGTATTGCTCCATTTACAAAAGCCTAAGACCAAGAAGACTTCACTATATATATAATGCTTAATCTTAAGCCTC